CCGTATTCAAAACCGTACGTGGGATCATACACTAGTAATTATATCACCAATCCCCTTTCTTCACCATCCTCGCACTCACCATAAAAATAAAATTGATAAACACCAAGAAAAAAAAAAAAACTACCAACTACAAACAAATTATTCACATTCGTTCCACATAGTGGGATGATACTAAAATAGTAGACAATTTAAGTGGCAACCAGAGAATTGATAACATTAATAATTGAGTTACATGTAAAAACAACAATAAGAGTGCAAAATAAACTAGAGTAAACAACAAAAGCAGCAGCAAATACCAAAAAAAAAAAAAAAAAAATGTCACCATCATCAACTTTAACAACTTAAGCAAATGACAACAAACACTTTTTTTCCACAAAAATTAAAAGGTTATCACCGTAGTTACCACAGTTTATAGCATAGTGACAATGACAAATGTCAAAAATGAAGTAGTCTATTGTTATTTTTCAATGCTAAAGTTCTATTTTCTTTAACAACAAAACTAATATGCTGTATTTACTATAACATATATTTAAGCACAGACTGCTGACAAAGGATTTGGGATGGTGGCACTCATTTATTGATCTTAGTAATTGTTGCAAGCTGTCATTGGTAAAAACAAAATGACAGGTAGTTAAGTAGTAATAAAGTTACTATATGTTTGAGTTGAGATGTCAGTTGCTTAGACTGATAGGTCTAAAATTAGAAGCAACATTAGGCTATTTAGGACGTTAAGCTCCTGATGCAGACCTTTGAAGACTCGAAGCGGTAACGCTCAGTGTCTTCTATTTTTGCAAGAAAATTTTCAATGAAATGTGATGCTTTAATTCTTATTTTATGAACTGTATGTAATAAACGTGTTGAAAACCAAAAGACTTTTCCACATTATCTGCAAAGCTCAAAGTGTTCAACATACCAGACTAGTCTAGAGATGGTCTTTTCTTGACATTTTTATAAAGTGTAGTTCTGATAAATTGTCTTTCACAGAGTTGGGCGCAATGATCGAATCTCTGCAAGTATCAAACTTTGATATGAATGTTCGAATCAGAATATACTAAAGAGAAGAATGGGCTATAAACACTATCCTTCGGGAGGACGCGATCTTAGCCAGCACTGACGATTGGTACGTAAATTTTCTCGCAGAATATCAAATATGGCTCGCCTTGTCATTCACAGAAAAAGACCATGATACTATTAGGATTTGATGGGAATTAGCTAAAACTTCTTTTATTAGATACCTATCGTAAGGTTAGCATCCCCCCGGGGCATGTTTCCTTGATGAAAAACTCCATCTTGGTGTATTGCAATCCCGGTGTATAGAGGTGCTACCAATACCTCTAGTCTGCCGGGACTATAAACTGGTGCTGATCAAATGTATCCTCGGGCTTTCCTTGAAATGATTTGACATGGGGTCTAACCCTGGCCACAGCACCTAGTCCTGACCGGTCAATTGGTTAAGGTTCCTTCGGGATCCACGTAGTGGTTATGGTTTATACCCAAATTCGCGGGGAGAGAATGTTGGTTTAAGGACTGATATCATATGCCAAATATGTCTGGATTCTCTCTCCGGTGATGTTGCCATCTCAACAGATGTTATTGGGTGATGTGATAGAGCAACTTATGCTGGATTCATGAACCCGTTGAGTATCTCTTACTCTTCGCGTAGTAGGGCGCCAGTATATGCTGGAAAATTTTCAGGTTGACACTTAGTAGTTGCCTGTCATTTCGTATATCGTTCTTTATGGCCTAAGAATGGAATGGGATACCTCTCTAGGTACTGTTACCGAATCAACAGAGCCATTTCAGTAGTGTGGTTGCGCGGGCTTTAAGAGGTTAAGGAATGCACTGTAATGGGTCATTAGTTGATGGGGATTGCATTTTAAATAACGCAATTTTGCATGACATCATAAGGGTGGTCACCTTTCGGTATACCGGAAGATTGATTTCACCTGATGTTGGGGTTTGTCGCCCCTTCTATTGACTTTAGATCACTGATTGTTTTTTTCTTGTCGGGGTTTGCACTGGGATTGATCTACTATGGCAAGAGATTAGATAGCTCGAGTTATTCAGCAAAGTGCTTGTACGTGGACCGACTCCGGGCGTAATCGGGGTGCTATCAATCAAATGTAACCTCGGTTTTTCCTTGGAATGATTTAACTGTGCAGAGTTTCGTAAATTGTCCTGTCCCAGTCATTAAAGAGGTCCCTTCAGGATACACATGGTGGCTGTGGTTTGAACCCAAATACGCGGAAAAGTTATATTGGTTAAAACACTCATGGACGATAATGTATATTGGAGATAAGTTCGGTGCTGTTGCTTAGACAACAGAAACCCTGCAGAGGAGTGACTCTGAGACTAAGCATTGGGAATGAGTTGGTGTGAAGTGTATATGATACGAGAAGGGTATATAGTTTGGGGTCTTACCTATCCTTACCCATTAGATAACTCTAGCACTTGAGCAAAATGTTGGCACATGGACCGGCAGCACCTTGTAAAAAAATTGCCATCGGCGTATAAGAAGTGCAAAGGGCTAAGGCTAACACGAATTACTTCGACTGAATACGTAAGGGCTGTTCACGTTATTGTAGAACATAGTTGTTTGCTGGGAAAATCTGTGCAATACTATCTACAAATGTTCACTAAGATCCCTGGACTCCTTTGTACTTTGAACTGACTCAAATATGTGGGACAGCATATATAGAATTCCCATGAAGAGCTTCAGTTATGTTAGGCTGATAGGAGGATGTACACATATTGCATCAGATCCAAAATAGGTTTCTAGGCTTCTAGGCTTCCATCCGACATGTTGTGTGCTTCTCTTCTTCGAAAATTTTGGTAGTAAAACCTTATGTAGCGATCTATGAAAGGAATAATTATCCAATGTTCAGAAATTTAGTTTCCTGTGTAACAGCATTCAAATTCTTTCATTCGCCTGAATCCGTTCCTCCAATTTGTCCAAAAACTTGTATGTCCACTGCGTACAAGTGTCATCATACCTATCCCGGACTTATTATTTTCTATGATGGTTATACTCCTGCTCTCCTTGGGTTGAGTTCTAACAACCGTTCCATTATTTGAAGTCGCGTTCGTTGTGTTGGGTGTTACATTCTTTCAAGTACAAGGCCACCTATATGTCCACTGCGAACAAGTGTCATCATACTTATCGTGGACTTATTCTTTACTAGGATGGTTATACTCCTGGTCTCCTTGGGTTGAGTTCTACCCACCGTTCCATTATTCGACCAGGCCACTCGGGAGTAGACCATATAATGAAGAGCTTACTGCTAACAGCATATTCGGTTATGGCCCTCTTATAGTCCAATACAATCATGATTTAACCAAAAACCTATATGTCCACTGCGAACAAGTGTCATCATACTTATCCCTGACTTTCTAGGATTGTTATACTCCTGGTCTCCTTAGGTTGAGTTCTACCAACCGTTCCATTATTTGAAGTCGCCTTCGTTGCATTGGATTTACATTCTTTCAAGTACCAGGCCACTCGGGATTAGACCATATAATGCAGAGTTTACCGCTGACATCGTATTCGGTTATGTTTCTTTTATAGTCCAATACAATCATGATTTAACCAAAAACCTATATATCCACTGCGAACAAATGTCATCATACTTATACCGGACTTATTCTTTTCTAGGATGGTTATACTCCTGATCTCCTTGGGTTGAGTTCTACCAACCGTTCCATTATTTGAAGTTGCTTTCGTTGCAGAGCTTATAATGCAGAGCTTACCGCTGACAGCGTATTCGGTTATGGCCCTCTTATAGTCCAATACGATCAAGATTTAACCTTATTGGCTTATATTGGACTAACTATTTCTGTCTGCCGGATAGAATGTTAACCTCTGTTGGAGCCAAATTCAATCTAATCTATTTACACTGACTTCCAATGGACATTAGTATATTTCAGTTTACAGGATTTCAATGCCGATCTCCAGGTTCATTTTGTCATTTAGTGCAAAGCCGTCCGTGCAACGAAGGATGGAAAACAGGAATTTTCTTTCACCAAAACAGGGTCATCTATTTGGAATCAATGTCTCGCAGTGCCTAACAAATTCTATTTCCGGCATAACCTTTATATTATGATAACGTGTCTTGTAATCCACTTTGGTCAATTTGCCTAAAGATAGGAGCTGCACGACTGTAGATGCCACCATTTATCTTTTACGGCACATTTTACTTGAAAACAAAAAGATTTTATTTAAAAATTCTCCAGAACCCGCATGTTTTATACCTATTCTTTTTTCATTAGTATGTATTATCGCTTTTAAATCCCCCAACAATTGACAAAATATTAACAACTTGTGACAGTTAATAAATCTATTTCCAGCCAAAAAGAAACAAAAAAAACAGATATCATAATCTTTTTCAATACCAATTATTTACTAATACATAAAACATTTCATGCAAAATATATATTTATTTGTATACAGCTCAACATAATCCTTGTTGAAATTCAAACAGACACGAACGAAGTAAACAAAAATAAAAGGATAAAGTGAAAAAAATATATAACGATTTCATTGAATAATAAAATAGATACCAACAGTTGGTTGTTATTTAATCTCCGCTAAAACGAAAGAAAAACAAAGTCTATTTTAGAATTTTCCCAAGAAACTAACAAACATTTGGTAAAGGAAATCCTGTGACTTTTTCATTTGTGGCGGATTATAGAAAAGTTCGAAAACTGAAAATTTCCAAAGAAAGAAAAATTTATTTAATTTCCTAGAAAAGAAAAAGATTTATGAATTTGTTTTGCAAAAAGTACTTGAGAAATATTTAAATAAAAAACTCTAGGAAAAAAGGCACTAAAATATTGTTGCCATTAAATAAAGGACTCTAGGAGACAAATGCGCACACTCTAGTCTGCATATTGTACAAAAGGAATGTGGATTGTAAGAGCTTTGCTGGGATAAATTGAGAAGATTTTGAAAAAAGGATGCTAAAGTTGTGTTTTATAAATCAGTTGTTTTTTAGACGTGGAGATATAAAGTTGTATTTCAAAAGTAACTACAACAATTTGTTTTGAAAATAAGTGCTTTGTTTTTGTAATTTAAAACACAAAAAAAAATTAACAAAGAGAAAATTTTAAAGCCGACGGAAAGAAAATGAAGAAAATTTATGAATTTGATAGAAAATTTAAGAATACTTCTTAACAACTTTAAAACTAAATATTCAAGTGTTTTAAGCCTTTAAAGTATACAAATCAAATATATTAAATAATGTATTTAATAATAAATTTTATGAAAAATATTTGCAAAAAAGTCATGTTTTAAGGCGTGTCATTGTTTACAAAAATATTTGTCCTTTATTAGGATTTTTGTGTATTTTTAAGTGTGTGTGTCTTAAGAACAAAAAGTAATAGAAATAACAAAATCCCCCCACAAAAAAAAACTTTGAAAGAAATTTGGAATAGACATATACATAAACAACATGGATTTACGTCCCTTGACATACGAAGAAATGTGCCAAATGGAATTAATGCATACCGGCTCAAATTGTGGTGGCATAGGAGGTATCAGTGTTGTTGGTGGAGGAGCTGGTGGTACCTCTACTAATCCCTCAGCCTCAATTTCAGTCACTAACCAGACAACGATGGCAGCGGTGCCAACATCAGCTTCCCAAAACAGCAATACCTCCACCACAACAATGTTGCCAATTATGGTAATACCCACATCGATGATGCCGCCTGGTACACATCTCATAACAACTACAACTGCAGCAGCAGCAGCAAATGCAGCTACACCTTTATCGGAGACAGAGTACGATAATGATACACAACAACAGCAGCAGCAGCAATTATCGATAAATGCAGCACAGCCCACACATTTCTATCAATTGCAACCCACACACATATTGGCCACAGCGACGCCATCAAATACAGAATTTACTTTGACATCAACACCCACAGCCACTTTATTGTTGCAGCCTACGGCTCAGCTGACTGGCACAGAACAGCTTCCACATTCACATCAACTTTTGCAGCAGCAGCCCCAACAGATTCCACAACAAACTGTTAATATTTTATATACAGGCACTCTCACCAAAAATCCACAGCATCTACATCATCACCAGCAACAACACAATACAGCAACACCACTAACACGCTCTGCCCTAGAGTGTTCAACTTTGCCGCGTAATTTCCAGGCAAAATCTTTAAATCCCCCCTTAAATGCATCCCAAGATGAAAGTGATTTTGAGGGTAGTGAATGTGGCGCCAGTGTTTCTACCACCACCTGTATACCTCATTTTCGTTTTGGAGGCTGTGGTGTTATACTGCAGCCTGCCACACAAAATTTCAATCAACAGCAACAGCCGCCTCATCATGGCGAACCACAGGTTATAGGCTGTGCTTCATTATCCCATATGATGGGTTCATTTGCTTCCGCTGCAGGTGATGCCATGCATACAGGAAGTCGCAATTTGGCTGGTACTTTGGGACGTAATCGTCGTACACAGCAACAACAACAACAGCACCATCAACAACAACAAGATGGCATAACAACACAGACTCCAAAACGTGTGTCATTTAAGGGTGTCGATTTGCCACCGCCACCCACACCGGAAGAGCTGCAAATGTTAGATGCTGGTCATGGTCCAACTATGGATACATTTAATAATTGTTCATATATGAATTTTGATAATTTCATGGATTATCAGGTAAGATTTGGTGGATGAAATATGAAATGTAATTAAAATATTTTATGAATATGTACAAATTAATTGTTATTTGTTGTATACATGGGTGATTATGGTTGCTGTGGTGCGTATGATTACTAGGAATTAATTAAATATTAATCATACGCATCAGTGTTTTTATTATGAAATTTAATTTAGTACTGATAACTTTCAAAAACAATTTGTTTCACAGAATTTTGTAAATAAATGTGTTGTTTCTAGATAGCATGCGAATAGTTTTAGTGAACATTTTACTCCTAACGAGAACACTCAACATTCAAAAGTGGAGCTGTTCTGGGTGCTGCATAACTCGTATATACCTGGTAATGTCATTGCGTTTAAACTAACGATAAGCGATTCCCACCTGTATGAAAGGAAAGGCATTAATATTCCCGCTCTCATGCTGCAAAACACTTAGTCAGCAGGAACTATACAAGGCTGCCCTAATCAGATGGTCAACAACGTCCTTCTGTTCAACAGCCAGACTTATAGGGTCACTTTATAACAACCCTAGGTCTTTGTCAGTGATCACGTATGCAATCAGGGCTAGCGACAGCTGTGATGATAAGGCATTGGTTTGTAGGAGCGCTTGCTAGGAGATTGAATCTTCCATATAATAACGTCTATAGAAGATCCAATAATCAGGATGAGGAGGAACACTTTTTATGTCAGTGTCCTGCTTTGTTTGACTTAAAAATATCAACCAGCGCGACTTACTCTTATTCACTTAAACTGGGGGCTTTCTAACGTTGATGTTCAGAAAATAGATTCCTTTCTTCGTGCTACAGGTTGTTTTGTCACGTTACCTACTATAAAGAATCTGCAGCTATGGTAGTGTAAAAAATTTATAAATATTACTTTTACACTAAAATACACTGTCTGTAAATATTTTTCCTAAAGCTAACACATTTTAATGAATTAAATGGCAGACACTTGCCATCTCTAATGATTTCACTTTAATTTTCATTGTACAAGTTTTGTTTTGTTTCAATCCAAAAACCAATAAACCATAACACCATCATTGTTAATTGAACATTTGTGTTGTGCTGTAGTACTGCTGTCTGTTAAACGCATAATGTTAAGCACTCACACACATAACTAAACAATCACACTTGGACACCTACACAAAAAAAAAAAAAAAAAAAACAATAAACACAGATGGCAGGACAACAACAGCTAAACATATGTACATTCCTATATCCTCTCATAACACATACAGACATTTAGAGGACTAAATATTTGTGCGTATGGGTGAGAATAAATTCATATACAATTCCATTGTGTGTTATATCCGTTTCCGTTAAATGTTGTTTTGTGTTTTGCATTATTATTAAACTATTGTTTCATGTCGTAGAAAATAGAAAATTGTCCACAATTTTAATTGTTTTGCGGTTAATGTTTATTCGATGGCGCCTACTGATGCTGTTGCCATTGCTGTATATTACAGCCTACACTTTCAGTTGTCACCTTAGTGTCGTGTTCTCTTTTAATGTTCATAGGCCATTCATACAGTAAAGTAAGGAAACTATTGAACCATGGATAGTAATAACTACACTTTATTACTAGAAATGAACTAGAACTGAACTAGAAATTAACTAGAAATGAACTAGAAATGAACTAGAAATGAACTAGAACTGAACTAGAACTGAACTAGAACTGAACTAGAACTGAACTAGAACTGAACTAGAACTGAACTAGAACTGAACTAGAACTGAACTAGAACTGAACTAGAACTGAACTAGAACTGAACTAGAACTGAACTAGAACTGAACTAGAACTGAACTAGAACTGAACTAGAACTGAACTAGAACTGAACTAGAACTGAACTAGAACTGAACTAGAACTGAACTAGAACTGAACTAGAACTGAACTAGAACTGAACTAGAACTGAACTAGAACTGAACTAGAACTGAACTAGAACTGAACTAGAACTGAACTAGAACTGAACTAGAACTGAACTAGAACTGAACTAGAACTGAACTAGAACTGAACTAGAACTGAACTAGAACTGAACTAGAACTGAACTAGAACTGAACTAGAACTGAACTAGAACTGAACTAGAACTGAACTAGAACTGAACTAGAACTGAACTAGAACTGAACTAGAACTGACTAGAACTGAACTAGAACTGAACTAGAACTGAACTAGAACTGAACTAGAACTGAACTAGAACTGAACTAGAACTGAACTAGAACTGAACTAGAAACTGAACTAGAACTGAACTAGAACTGAACTAGAACTGAACTAGAACTGAACTAGAACTGAACTAGAACTGAACTAGAACTGAACTAGAACTGAACTAGAACTGAACTAGAACTGAACTAGAACTGAACTAGAACTGAACTAGAACTGAACTAGAACTGAACTAGAACTGAACTAGAACTGAACTAGAACTGAACTAGAACTGAACTAGAACTGAACTAGAACTGAACTAGAACTGAACTAGAACTGAACTAGAACTGAACTAGGAACTGAAACTAGAACTGAACTAGAACGTGAACTAGAACTGAACTAGAACTGAACTAGAACTGAACTAGAACTGAACTAGAACTGACACTAGAACTGAACTAGAACTGAACTAGAACTGAACTAGAACTGAACTAGAACTGAACTAGAAACTGAACTAGACTGAACCTAGAACTGAACTAGAAACTGAACTAGAACTGAACTAGAACTGAACTAGAAACTGAACTAGAACTGAACTAGAAACTGAACTAGAACTGAACTAGAACTGACCTAGAACTGAACTAGAACTGAACTAAACTGAACTAGAACTGAACTAGAACTGAACTAGAACTGAACTAGAACTGAACTAGAACTGAACTAGAACTGAACTAGAACTGAACTAACTGAACTAGAACTGAACTACTGAACTAGACTGAACTAGAACTG